CATTTTGTCAGCCAATTTCGGTCCGATTTTCACGAAATTCGAACTCAATCTTTCTTATGGTGTAACGGTGATATATTTGAACGTTTTGTTTAAATCGAATAAAAATCGTGACCTTTAGAGTGTCACAAGCTAAAACGTGGTTTTTCGTACAATCAGTGTCGAACCGAGATCTTTGTGAGATGGACCTATATTTCAAGTTTCATCAAAATCGGATAAAAATAATGACCTGTAGAGCGTCCACGGATTATGGACGGACGGACGTTCAAGGGCAACAACAATATACGTCCACATTTATGTGGCAATTTCAACCTCTAATCAATGTGTTAATAAAGCCAAAGGTGACAAACGAATTAATACCGTGGTATTAAAGGAGAGTATTGTCGATATCCTTTCACAGTCTCACACAACAACTTTTGGTCTTCGAAGGAATTATTAGTTAACAGTCATTCGCCTATATATCTGTTATCAGTCGTCACTTCAGTTAGTTATATAGAGGGATAACTCGTGTTTTCCTTTTACGTTCGTCACTTTCGATTGTTGAAAGATTGATTACGCATCTATCGTAGCAATGATCTCTGTGATAAAATAATATTTAGAACGTGTTTAACCAGTTCTATCACATATGTGATAATGACTGGCACTAATATTGTCCTTTAAGGTTCTGGGAATTCTCTCGCCAGAAAATAAACAGCATGGCAACGATATGTACAAATATATTATTTAAGAAGCCTGAATGAAGACCAGCAGAGCCATGTTTAACCAGTCAGCCTATCTAACACACTATTTCATACGGAGACTTCTTCCTCCAGAATTACACACCTATTTCGTTAAATTTGATAAGGGTCATTTATCTCGTCAAGAAATCTGATCTCTATCATGTTTACAATCTTTTCCGGACACTTACTATATATCTGGAACAAGACGTCGTATGATTTATCAGGGTTCATCCTCTTCGACCCCAACGCTTAACGCCTAATATTAAAGTCAACAGGGTTCACATCCGAACACTTCGCATTATATATGAGAATGAAAATCTGTTAAAGACCGTAGCCTATATAGGAGGTTTCGGAACGCTGAATCGCGATAGGGTGTATCATCTCCCGACAGTGCTTCGCATAATATGTAAACGGTAGCCATAGCTATCTTATTTGTATTTGGTTTTCCGGAAAAGTGCTCCGTAGTTATATATGTAGACTATAAGGTGTAAGGTTTTGGTACCTACCGAATCGCTAGCAAATTCTATCGTTTTCTCGACACAGTCATTGCCTGTGAAATAGTTTGATATTTAATGTAAAGGTTTCAAATGCTGTGCAGGAGCAAGAAGAAAAGGGTAAACTCTATTTGGGGCATGTGATAGACTCTTAAGACTTTATAACAAATAGCACAATTCAGGTCTGAATTGTAACATAATGTGCATGTGATTATTTACATTTCATTTGAACGCTGGCATCATCATTTAACGTTAAAATAAGGCGTGGTGATGTCATGTTGATTTATGATAATTTCTGATTAGATAATCTGACTCACAGGGGTCATGTTTCTATCTGCAATACATTTATAACATGAAAACTCAATATTAAAGGAGTTATGAGGCTCCAAAGGTACATGTGGGAGCCATTTCAAATTAGGCCCATTGCTCGGCCCGAAAATATGAGAATTTTGGATATGTTATAAAGGATGAACCAACGAAGCACAATGGCACCAAGAAACATTCTGTTGCAAATTACTCTTAAATTTAAAATAGATTTACTGAACTAATTATATGTATCTGGTGGATAAATCATTAAGTTATCGGTGCTTATCACGAGTTTTGTCGTACCTAGTTTGTGTAAAAAGTTCGACATATATTCTCGATATACCCGTGTTTGGAATAAAGAGTCCGTGCCGACTTTTCCAAGGGAGATAATATTAGCGTCTTATTTCTCCATCATTAGTTAATTAGCAGGCAAGTTTGATTTAAAAATTACTTTATTAGAATATTTTATCCTTTCAAAATATTGTTTAAGTATTGTGTAAGCTATTGTTGGCCTAGTGCATGGAGTTATTTTATTTATTATGTGTCTGTTAGTTCAGTATTTCGCCTAGGATTTTGAGACTAAGTGAATTGTTAGGTTGAGTAACACTGACGATTTATAGGGTACGTGTTAGCATGCCCCAATTGCTTCCCATTGGACAACATGTAATATAAACTGCAGGCTCTGTCACGTTCACAAGCAACTTGGTGAAGGACGGATCAGTGGACAAGGCGATATTTAGATTGAAATATGTCATTTGAAATGAGATATATTTTTTACAACAATGTGTCCACATCATCCCCACCACCACAAAAATATACCTTGCAACTAAAACATACGCTCCCAGCAGCTAAGTAGTACATTAAGACCACCAAGGTTGTCGTATATATTATTTTGTGGGTAATGGCAGCATTTACAACCCAATTATCAGAAATAATTAAAATTTGATTGTTTTGGGTTTAAAACATGTTATCAGATTAAAAACGTCTTCGTCTCGTGAACATAAACGCTGTATATTTCTTAATTCAATTAGATAGTAACATTAGTCATTAGTGTGCCTATAATATTAAATATTATCAAGAGCAATAACTCTGAAAGAAAACTGATATCAGTTTCTTCATTTCAATTTAGCACCAGATTGGTCAAAGGCAATATTCCTTAGTAGTAATTATGCTAAATATCTAAAAAGTATCAGTAGTTCCACAGTAGTAATATCGTTAAAAGTTACAATAGGCTTAGATAGGGTCAACAAAGTTTTTCAAATTTATCGCTTTAGCTGCTCGAATGCCCACATGTAATAGTGAACGACGGGTGGACGAATTGTGGTGACATCATACGACATATTTCAATATACTCGTATAAAAAGGAGGAATAGCATAAATCATAACACAGGGTTTAACAGTGGATTGATAATACATCTAATGTAATGGCAATATAGACCCGTGGATTACACACAATACATTAGTTACTGTCTGAACCGTTGTAAATTTTAAACTGATTTCTTCGATTGTGAACAAACTACTGACTAATTGTTGTTAAAAACTTGCCTATGTGTTTGAAATCACCTCCCGTTAAATAAAATCCATTCCAACATTAAATATCCCAACGAATAAAATAGGACCTCTCTTGAAAAGTCAATGTGTTTGCTTGTATTTTCGACTGTGTTCATCACAACATTGTACATTTCACGTGATGAGCTAAACCATCGTAATAAGTTGAAGGGGGGTAACGGTTGACAAATTTTGACAATCACAGCAACGCACGACCTTTTCGATTGCAACTGAAGACAATAACATTAATTCGGAAATAATTCATTGTTCTACTAATTTTTATTCACAATGAATTTATATCACCGATTACACGAATACTCGTAAATATAATATTGCTTTTCACATCATCATCACCGCATAATTGTAAATACCCTGTATATTATATATATTTACATCCCTGTTAATTATAGGCAACTATGGGGCTAACATTTATAAATAAACACACTTTATTTCATAATTTTAATTGATCATATTTCATAACGGGGTCTAATCCCAATGCTCTTTGGTTATTAGTCCATTTTCAAAGTTTTATGATTACCAAAAAAATATGAAAAAAAGCCACTGCTTCTCAATAATTTCCATATTTAATTCACCTTCGGACTGTTCAAGTCAATAATATTCCAGATTATATTACTTTTTTTGTTTATTCGACAGATACTGAAATCGAAACATTCTTGATAAAAATAGTTCGGGATGTCTAAACATCGTTTATCGTCTTCATAAAAATGTATTCAAAACAAAAAATCACTTGTCAAAAGAGGCATCGCAGATTGCGTGTATTATTGGGTCTTTTGTGTTAATTATGCAGACGGTGGGAAAAATTCATCCAAGTTTTGTGCTCAATTTAACCATTTTCACTGCATCTGTGTAGCATGCAATAACTCATAGGTTTTACGGTAATATAATTCAAAGCATTGATTGGTTGAGTCATGAGTCATCTAAGAAATGCCATCCGAAAATTCCATTCTCCGTCGATTTCAAAATGGAATTTTACATGTGATTAATATATAACTAATAACTGAGAGTATAATCGCATGGATACATTGCCCCGTTAAGGTCAAAACGAAGCCGGAATTTTCGGAAATTGTGTTACCGAGACGCACAATTATAAAAGTCTGAACAGGTTTTGCACAACGGAAATAATATACGAAGAGAAATAGAAACACACGGAACTATCTGTCGATAATTAAACCGATGGGCGGTATGGCTGGTTGGTAATAATATTTGGTATTCTTAAAAGAAAAATAACATCATATTCAATGGCCTCGGTTATTAATATTGCCGAGGCAAATATAAAATACATCGGCATTTACGGCTTTACCTCGGCAACAGCAGATTGTCGAGGTTAATTCATAGGACTGCTTAATTAAGTTCATCAGGAAATATTAAAGATATTCAAGGGTGAAATTCTAGGCCCGTAAAACGAATGTCGTTCTTTTTGTTCTGCACCTGTGTTCAAAGAAATAATCCCACTCAACTCTCTAACCAAATAATTAATACAAGACGGAAACAAAATAACGGACTACGGGCGTATTTGTGTTTTTAAACGCCCAAACTCATTACTGGGTCCGAGAGCAATAGCTTATTCATATACACTATTTGAATTGTTGTAAAAGATAGGCATGCCTTGCCGCCACCCCTTTGTACTAAATTATCTATCCTGAAAAGTGACGTAATTAGCTTCAATTTTTGTGTTTATCGATGTCCAAGTTTGTGATGAGTTCAATTTTACAAGAGAGAACGTTTTTATTCGTTGGGATATTTAGTTGTACAACAGATTTTATTTAACGGGCGGTAAATTCAAACACACAGGTAAGTTTATAATAACCAAAGGCAAGTAGATTTTCATAATCAAATTTACGACGGTTCAGACAGTAATATTATCAGCACAGAAAAGGGAGGCAGTATGTAAAAAGATTTTGATTATTTAACTTACCAGGTGGTGTAGTGCTCATGGGTGTTGGCGTTGTAGGTTCTGTGTATGAAGAAAAGAAAATAGTACAAAACATATATCCACAAATGTCTGTAAATTTACTTGAGAAACAATATATAAAACATAAGAAACTAGAACTTTTTTTCTGGTTTCAAAAATATGCATTATTATTTAAACATTTATTCACTTGACAAGCTCAGCTCTCTAGAACATCGGATGGCTTAGATATTAAATTGGGTTTGAATATCCGTCCCATGTAATAATTTAGAGAGATTATATAGGCTTTGTCTATTTCCCAATCCTAGAATTAAATAAAATATATTAAAGATATTAATTTTTCATTATCTATTTTTGAACTATTATAACAAGAACGGCCAGTTCTATATTACAATTCTTCTATAATGCATCTTTAATAATTGTACCAGGGGCGCAGATTGCCAAAAATTAGTGGTGGGGACAGTCCATGCGCGAGCGACTATTAGTAAAGAGGGGGGTTAGGGGGTCCTCCCCCGAAATTCTTTGAAAACTAGACGCTCTAAAACGCACTTTCTGGGTATTTTCAGCCTCATTTTCTGGCAAACAATCCTAATCCCTGAGACAGCAATTGAAACGAAATCTAGATTAAATCTTCAAGCCACCGTTCACGATTTATTCTCTCATGTACAATACAAGAACTAGAAATATTTACACTGCTGAGATTCCAGCTCCGCCTCCATTCCCAGTAGTGTTCGATGACTACGTAAAGTCTTTGAGCAAAATGTGTATTCAATTGGATACACAAATGTACAGGGCCCTGTTTCACAAAAACTTAGACTAAAATCACTAAAATAGATTTGAACTAAAATCAAAATGAAATTTTGAATTTTATGCGTTTCACGAAGATCCATTGTAACTTAAAGCGGAAGTTGCAAATTTTCTAAGAAAGTCAAAACGTAATTATTTCTATGTCTTTTGCTCAATAGGTTGTCATCTCACAATTATACGATCATAGGTGTCATTCTCACACTTAAGATTCATTTACACAGGAAATAATAACACAATTACCTCCCTTGTTTTCTATTCTCCACCATGGAGTAGCGATATTCAAACGTTTGAAAATGAAGAGGAAAATGATATTTTTGCCAATTTCTCAGCTGGTAATAGTGAATTATAGGATTAATAGGATTATTCTTTAACAAAGTAGGACTGTTTATGGATACCATCTATTTTCAGGCTTTATTTTAATAAATTTTAAAAATATAACTTAAAAATTTGCAATTTCCGCTTTAAAATGCAATTTTAATAGATTTTAGTTAAAATATCTTGCGCTCGCGCAGTGCACAATTCCGGAGAGGGCACTTGGGTGTAAGCATACACGCTTCGAAACTGAAAATTGTTGTCAGGTTGAACTAACCGTTACAATACCAATGAGGAGAGTTTCATTCGTTGTAACAATGCCTGCACATGACCAGACAGTCGTAGAGAGATGAAATAAATAAGGTTATTGCGTATTATTTGTTTTGAAATGTATCAGTTGGTTGGCCTTGAATTTGCATGTCGCTTTCGTGACCTTGGCATTGGATTTACTCGCAGGCCTCAATGGAAATAATACGTATCGTTAAACTAAATGGCTTTAATTTCTTAGTTTTGTGGTATTTTGGATAAGAGAAACTATTGAGAAATTGTCACAAACATGTGATATTTCTGACTCAAACGATTAATCTAGACTAAAGTATTGTCGAATTTTAAACGTATTTAATAACTTTTAAACTAATACTACACGAAATAACCAATGTTCCGATGCCTAGATTTGAAATGTCAGTCCCATGGACCCTTTCAATAATAATTTGAAAATGCCACACTCCTTATTGGATAATGCCTATCTATCTTATTAAATTAAAATGATTTTTTTCACAATATAAAATACCCTTGGCTCCTATATAAATCATCATAACCCCAAAACCATAATTAATACTTTGCATATGGCGTATCTAGTATTATAGGACTGACGGGGTTTCGATTCCCCAGCTGTACGTGAAAATGAATGCGGTCGCCCGTCCAACCGCGTGGGTTTTCTCCGGTTCCTCCCACTACTAGAGACCCCATACGCGAATTATTCAAATAAAATTGAACCATGTGTTAGTCCCGAAATGACCTAGTGTGTGTCTAGTGGACGTTAAACCCCACCTCTCTCTCTCTCATTTTAAACACTATTGTAGGCATACAAAGATATTTCTAATAGATAGACATTAGATATGAAGTGGGTTTAGATTTTTTAGGGTTTTTTTTTGGGGTACATGTATATTAATTATTTGAGAGGGTTTTTGTTTGTTCTTGGGGTTTTAATTTGGGGCGTCATATAATTGCTTATTGACTTAACATAAAATAAACGGGTGAGCCGCAGCTATATTTCCCATGCAATGAAAAGAAATTGAATGAAAATTATTTTTTTATGAATGATAGTATGTTTAAATTATATAACCCGGGCCACTGGCAATATTATGATTCTTCCAAATATATCTATATGTCACAATAGATCTCACAACGTAGCTCTAATTAATGTTTGTTTATGTCGTGATTTTAAGTTAGGAGAGGGTGACGGCTCTCCTAAGTTACAATATTTTAGTTAAAATTGTCCCTAAAATAGTTTTGTGAAACGCCACTATTGTAAGTTCAGATAAAATTTTAGCTTACAATATTATTTTAGTGGATTTTACCTAATATGCTTAAATTCGTTTTGTGAAACGCGTCTATCTTAAGGATGGAATTTTAGTTTAAGACGATTTTAAGGAGATTTAAGTTTTTGTGAAACAGGGCCCAGGCCTACAAATATTTTAATTTATATAAACTAAAACAAGCCACACACACACACGGCTAAACATATCAATATTCAATCCCAATATTATTCATTGGTGATTAAAAATCCGATGGCAAAGGCCAATTTTCCCACGTAAAATTCAAAAATGGCGACCACATTGAAATAATAACTTTTCGCCTTTTTTAAAGTTAAATCTATCTGTTTCATAGCCATTTTAATGATTCACATAGTACCAGTTGCATTATATTATCTACATGTATTTTGAATGTGACAGTGGTGATGTTATGTTAGAAATTACATGTTTGGAATTTTATAATTTGCTCAAAGGTTTAAAGAGGCAATCACTTGTAGATGTGTCCTGAAAGAAGCCGATGTATCATAACAGCTATACAAGAACCAGAAAAGCAATCCGGATCACTTGTAACGTCCGAATACTTTTCGTCTTGTATCCGGATTGTTCTGTAAGAATTTTACACGATTCTTGGCTCAGCTTACTGTACTCCAAAAAATAGAGGGTTCGAGTCTTTTAGATTTAATTGCCTATATTCCACAGAGAGAGATATAAACCAGTCTTTAAAAATACGTATATAATTAGTATGGCAGCAAATCTTGCCATGAATCGTTCTCCTGATATACTTTAGTTAGGAGATTTATTATCCAGTATACCAGATAAAAACAAAATCTCAGTTATTCCTTAACCCTTTAATACCCAGCGTATCAGATATGCACACATACATGATATACATGAGTATTTCAATTATTTACTGTTATAATATGAATTATCACTTATTCCCTGTTAAATAAAAATCGGTCACCGAATGCAGCTGTACACTTTCAAGTACCCTGGCCTCAAGTGCCTGGGACCAATCGACACTTTCTGAAATGTCAATAAAAGCTCTGGAATGATTTCAATTTAAAAAAATAAACAGTAAGCAAAATATCAGAAATAAGTGGTGGGGACACAGTATATCATGTCCCCACCATTAAAAATATTGGTGGGGACGCGTCCCGGTGTCCCCACCCGGATCTGCGCCCATGGTACCCTGTGAGATTATCTGTAACATTACAACTAATCAATCCATTAAATGAACTAAATATTTGTTACTAGGAATTGGTGATTGTCCACGGTGAAGAATAAATACACGGTTAATAGTACTCTCGAAGCGTCAAATAAACAAATGTGACCGATTCATTTAAAGTTTCGCAATTTATTCGTGCAGGAACGCAACCTTTAAAAGGCTAAATGCTGTGAAAGCGTCTTTAGGGCTTTCCTTGATTTTATATAGCGCTCGAATAGATGCATCTGGAATAAAAGTTAGCTGTGATCATTATCGATAGTTTGAACCAGATTTTAATTACATAATAGCAACAAAAAGAGGAAATATAGATGGATAATGTTATGATCTAAATTTTATGAAAAGATAGGTTGTCAGGCAACGAAACATACGCCCACAGCAGCTAATTCGTCCGGGCAGTCAACAAGAGTTGTCGCATGAAACATTTATAATACATTACAATCGGATTAAGAGTAACAACTCATTAAGTAATTTTCAGAAAACTATTAGAATTTGTTTGGTTTTTACAAAGTTCTGCCCCATGCTAACGTTTAGTATACGAAACTTTTAACATCATGGATTTAGCTGTTCAAGTCATAAAAATTCATTGAAAATCAATATATATATACTTGTTCGTCTCAAGACCTTAAACTCTGTGTGTCAATCTGAAGTCTAGAGGGTCACAAGATTTTTCAAAGTGATCAAAGGCCATAACTTTGGCAGTAATTATCGAAAATCGTTTAAAATTGATATAATTGTTCGTCTCATGACCTAAAACACTGTGTATCAATTTAAAGTAAATATAATATTATAACTTTAGTCTATAGAGCATTTACAAGATTTTTTGAAGTGATCAAGGGCCATAACTCTAGCAGTAATTATCGAAAACCGCTGAAAATGATTAGAATTCTTCGTCTCATAACCTTTAACACTGTATAAATTTATTTAAAGTCAATGGGATATTAACTTTAGCTTCTAGAGCGTCCACAAGAATTTTCAAAGTGAACAAGGGCCATAATTCTGGCAGTAATTATCCGAAATTGCTGAAAATCAATTGGCTTCTTCGTCTCATGACCTTAAACACTGTGTATAAATTCAAAGTCAATCGGACATTAACTTTGGCCTCTAGAGCGTCCATAAGATTTTTCAAGGTGATCAAAGGCGATAACTCTGGCAGTAATTATCGGAAA